GCTCTCACTCAGCGCTGACCTGAATCTGCAGCCTCCAGGGCGGAGCAGGGAACCTCACAAGGGTCTCAGGCTCTTGGCACCCAAAAGAGGGAAAGAAACCATGTGCAGGGGTGAAAGGCTTACAAAGCACCTGTGAGACTCGGGCTCAGCCCTGGGGATAAGATCAGCCGCGTGGAACAGCGCGGGCAGACTCTCCCCGGGCTGCCCCAAGTTCCAGTCTTTCTCTGTGCACACCCCAGAGTTTGGTACCAAGTGGAGGAGATGGGAGAAAACGGGAGGGTGGGAAGGAGAGGGAAAGAAAGTGAGGGAGGAAGGACAGCAGATGACAACCAGCTCGTCTCCCTCTCAAGGGAGGTTTATCCACGAGACTGGTGTTCAGTGGAGCAGGATGGAGCCTCTGACCCTGTGCCTGGTGTCTGGGGACTGTGGTGACTTGGGGAAGATGCAGGTGACACCTTCCTCCCACCATCGCCATGCCCAGCTTTGACACAGCCTGCGTGGGTGGCCCCGGCTGCTTGTGAAGTGACACCTCAGACTGTGAGTCCGAATAAACCTTTCTTCCTTCGGTTTTCCCAGATGTTTTGTCACAGTAGTGGAAAACTAACCAACACAATGGCCGGGAAAGGATTTTACAGCCTCAAGAGGAGGAGGAGGAGGAAGAGGAGGAGGAGGAGGAGGAGGAGTTGCTATCAGGCCTCAGGCAGGACAGAAAGCAGTGCATCTTGGGGATGGGGTATTGATCTGGGGTTGCACACTGACTGGTGCTGTAGTGCTGGGTTGGGGTCCTGCAGGGCAGGATGGGAAGCTGTGGCACTCGTGAGCATTACGGCTGTGGTACGGCAGGCCCTGTGTGATTAGTCCTCCCTGCAGACCCGTGCGTCCAGCCTCCCACTGACCCTCAGACACTTGGCTTGCTCCTCAGCACTCTTTGGAAGCTCAGACCTGTGTCAGGCCTCTTGGAGGGACTGTCCCCTGCCTCTGCTGTAAGAGGAGAAAACGTCACTGTGCACTCCTCACATGACACAGTCAAGTGACCTTCAGCCACTCTGGGGACCACACCTCACCACTTCCTGCCTCCCAGCACATGTGGTGCCAGGTCCTTTATACTGCTGGGGACTTCTGGGCAGGATGACGAGAGGCTCACAGTACAGAGGGAACCAGTGACAATGTTCATATCCATTTGACCCAGCTATTCCCCTTCTAAGTGTCTTTCAGAAAGAGTATCAGGCATCATATTACAGTGACACATGCATACCCATGTTTAGAGCAGCACAATTCATAACAGCTAAATTTTGGAAGCAGCCTATTTATCAGCAGATGAATAAAGAAAGTGTGGTATTTACACACAGTGGAGTACTACTCTGCCATAAAGAAGCATAAACTTGAGTCATTTTTAGGAAAGTGGATGCATCTTGAGACCATAATGTTAAGTGAAATAAATCAGACATAGAAGCTTAAAAGTGATGTCTTCCCTTACATGAAATATATAAAGTGCAGATTATAAAATGTAAAGGCCAAAATAAAAATAAGTAATTGAAAGTAGATTATTTAGATAGATCTTTTTCAAATGGAAAGAGGATCAACAGATGGAGGGATGGGAGAAGGAGGGTAGGGGAAGGGGACAGAAAGGAATTAAGATGTGTTATGTACATGCACCGACTCCCTAAAAGGGATGAAATCATTTTATACTACAAACTTGTACTGATAAAAATAAAAATTAAACCAGGTGGTGGCGCAGGCCTGCAATACCAGTACTCCAAAGTTGAAGCAGGAGGATCGTTCTGAGTTCAAGACCAGCCTAGCCACACGATGAGAGCCTAACCCCCGCAAACCCCAGCTTTGCTTCAGGAGCCAGGAGTCGCCCTTCGGCAGATCCCAGCCCTGCCCTGACCCAGCAGGGCTACCCTCCCCCAGTGAGGGTTCCTGAAGGCCAGGTGGAGAGAATCCAAACTTGGGGACAGCTGGGCCCGCCTTCCTGCCCGGTGCACACCTGCTGTGAGCTATATTTAGAACAGCGAAGCTTGGGGCAAGAGAGAGAAGCCAGAGAAGAAGAAAGAAAGACGTAGGCAGAAAACGGGAGCTGAGCCCTGAGGGGTGAAGCCGCTGTGTCCTCTGGGTTGGAAGAGAGGGACAGCTGCGGGCACTGGCAGGGGCAGCTGGATGGAGGGATAGGTGGTGGCTGACACCTCTCAGAGCTGTGAACTCTGCCTGTCCCCAGAAGCCTCAACATCTCCTCCAGATGAGGGCTCCTGGAGCTTGGATTGAAGCCCCTGTGGGTAGGACATGACTTTGTGCCCTCCTGTCCCCTCTAGAGGGAAAAATAGGAGAATACAAAGAATGGAAAGAGGGAAAATATGTTGGATTTATTATGCTGATTGCAATGTACAGGATTCACAAATGAATTGCTTTGGAGGAATATGAACATAGTAAAGGATTTTTGTACAATAAAGCAATTTTCTAAAAATTTAAAAATAACTCAATAATGTAATTGTTTTTATTAAAGTAGCTATGTCGGGCATAGTAGTGCCTGCCTGTAATTCCAGCACTCAGGAGGCTGAGGTGGGAGGACCTCTGTGAGTCTGAGGTCAGCCTGGGCTACATAGTGAGACTTGTCTCAAAAAAACAAGAACAAACCAACAAACTTATCAAAGTGGCTGCTAATTCATAAGCAGCTTATCACCCATGACGTGTTTCTCTATAAGAAATAGGGACATAAATGATTCCTATTTGAAAACCAAACGTATATAGGCTTGTGAGTAAAGAGAGGAAAATTAGAGGGTAAACATTATTGATACAAATCTGGAAGACTATGGACATAAAATTAACTGACAACTCACGAAAAGCTACATGGGTAATGGTAAAGCTAAACTAAAAGAGACTTTTATAATAAAACTATCAAGACCATCAGTAATGAGAAACACCACAGCCCGTCTTGGGATACTCTGGTGACATTGACCGTCAGCCCTTCCCCACCCCACCCCCCGAATTGTGACATTCTGGCCATCTGCAGGGTTAGGGTTGACAGCGTCACTAAGCGCTGTGAGGCAGGCAGGTTTCTTAGCGCAGGACGCAACAGGAGTCCTGGGTAATTTTAGTGTATGAATAGTGCATTTTGGTAACCTTCTGCAACCCACTCATTAGGTTAGCAGCAAGTAACCTTTAGTAGACCAAAAATATGAGCGGCTATAGAAGTGTGAGTCACTGGCCTGTAGGATTAAATAAAGGACTTGCTTGCCTGGGTCACTTGGCCCATTGTTTGTGGGAGCTCCGGTGGCCTGGCAGGGAGCCTCCGCTCCTTGTGGGAACCGCTGGAGGGCTTTTCTGGGAGATTATCTCTTTTCTGGAAAGGGCAGCATTATCAAGAATCTTCTCTCTCCTGGATTATTTCCATTAGCACACGAGCAGGCTGTATTGATTCCTGTCATAAAAACCTACTTCCTGGACTTCGTATCCCCTCCAGCCATGACCACAATTCTCTCCTTGTTCCTGCGACAAAGCTTCTCGAGAGTTGTTTATATACTTGGCCCTGCCTCTCTGTAGGGTCCAAATCCGCGGATTTAACCAACCGTAGACTGAAAGTATTTGGAAAAACGTCACAACCATACCCGACATGCCCAGGCATTTTTCTTGTCGTCATTTCCTAAGCAGGGCAGTCTAGCACTACTTACAGAGTCTTAGGTATTTGGAGGGATCTGGAGGTCACATGACACATGTGAGTGATGTGTGCTGGTTATAGGCAAATGGAGAGTGAGGCACGACGGTATTCGGTGTCCCCAACTCTTCACCCATCCTGTCCTGACCTACTCCGAAAGGCTTCTGTCCCCAGCATCCATGAAACAGCCTCTGTCCATGTCATTGACATCCATAACGGAAGCCACTGTCATTCTTGATGGTGTTGTGGGTAGGTCTAGAACTTCGCCAGATTTTAAGATTGAAAGTTACATATTCCAGGAACCACCTCATTCCTGAGCAAATCCAGACTGTGAGTCACCCTCGATGGTCATCCTTGAAGTTTCCACACCCATTCGTGTCCTCTTAGTCTTTATCTTGACCTTATAGCAATCTCTAATAGAATGGTTGTATTGAACAAGATGTGATGGTTCATGTCTGTAATCCCAGCTACCTGGGAGGCTGAGGCAGAAGGATCACAAGTTTGAGGTCAGTCTGCATAATTTAGTGAGACACTGTCTCAAAATGAAAAATAAAAAGGGCTGTGGGTATAATTCAGTGAGTAGAGCATCTCTGGGTTTGATTCCCTCAATACCATAAAAAGATACCCCTAAAGCTTTCAGATAATTTGTAAATGATAAAGTACATATATGTAAAGTCTTGACTTTGCCTACACCTACAAAATCATCACAGCAATCAAGCTAATGAACATATCCATTACCTCCAAAAACTTCTTCATGCACACTTGCAATGCTTCTCTCTTGCTTCTCACCCTGGCCACCATCTACAGATATACTGGTTCGTTATTGCTGTGTAACAAATAGTCCCCCAAATTTATGAGGTGAAAACAAGCACTGAGCAGGTGGCATTTTCTCTGGGTCAAGTGTGGGTGGAACTGACCTGGGGGCCTCTGCCTCTGGGTCTCTCCCTAGATTGTGACCAAGGCATGGGACAGGGACAGGGCTGTGATTGCATGTGACAACTTGTGTCAGGGAGGATGTACACCAAATTCACCTACACAGTTGGTGGAAGGGTTCCGCTCCTTGAAAGCTGTAGAGCTGGGCTTCAGTTTCTCGTTAGCTATTGGCTGGAGGCCTCACTTAGTTACTTTGCATACAGACCTCTTCCTCTGGCAACTTGCAATACAGTAGGTGATTTCATCAAGGGAATTTGGGATTGAAGGGAGAGAGAGAGAGAGAGAGAGAGAGAGAGAAAGGGGGGGGGAACGTGCCAGCCAGCACAATGGAAGTCACTAACTCTTTATGACCTCAAACTCAAAGTGAACTCAAAGTGATGTCCCATCATCTTTAGCACATTCTGCCTATGCGGAATGAATCACGCTAAGATCCAGCCACTCTCAAGGGAAAGGAGCGACTCCCAGGCATGAGTACCCGGAGGTGGAAATCCAGGGAGCCACTGGAGAGGTTGGCGGCCAGTGATCTGCTTGTATCACTGTCCATTAGTTTGTATTTTCTAGAATTTTAAATAAGTAGAATCATACTCTTTTGTATGTACTGTCTTGTTTATGTTGCACCACTTAGCATATCAGTTGAAATTTCATTTATGTTGTTGAATTTATCTATAGCTCTTTTTCTTGCCTTTTCTTTCTTTCCTTGTTTCTTTCTTTCATTTTTTGAGACAGGGTCTCACTATGTAGTCCAGGCTAGCCTCAAACCCACAGAGATCCTTCTGCTTCAGCCTCCCAAGTGCTGGAATATACAGAACCACTCAACCACTCCAATTTTTGTTTTAGTACATGTTTGCAGTACACAATATTCATGCATGTAATTTTAAATAAGTAGAATCATACTCTTTTGTATGTACTGTCTTGTTTATGTTGCACCACTTAGCATATCAGTTGAAATTTCATTTATGTTGTTGAATTTATCTATAGCTCTTTTTCTTGCCTTTTCTTTCTTTCCTTGTTTCTTTCTTTCATTTTTTGAGACAGGGTCTCACTATGTAGTCCAGGCTAGCCTCAAACCCACAGAGATCCTTCTGCTTCAGCCTCCCAAGTGCTGGAATATACAGAACCACTCAACCACTCCAATTTTTGTTTTAGTACATGTTTGCAGTACACAATATTTTCATGCATGTTGGGGAGTTGGTACATGTACATAACATGCCTTAATTCTTTTTATTTCTTTTTATCAGTCTGTCCCTCTCATACAAAAGAAACCATGCTATACTTAAGCTTGTGTGTCCAGGTGGATCCATTTTCTTATAAATGATATATCCTTCTCTATAGTAGTGTAGTAATCCATTGTTTATAAATATTATTTTCTTTGCCCATTCATCTGTTGATGGACATAGAGGCTGCTTCTAAGATGTAGCTATTATGACGCATGCTGCTATGAACATAGATGTGCGTGGATTACTATCATCTGATGTCTTCAGCTCTTTCAGGAAAATATGTAGAGGGAGAATAGCTAGATCAAGTAGAACTTCTATTTTCTTGAGGAATCTCCATACTGATTTCCATAGCAGTTACAGTTACATTCCTCAAAATAATGTAGAAGGGTCTCCCTTTCCCTGCAGCCTTACTAACATTTGCTATTATTTGATTTCTTGATGATGGCCATTCTTTCTGGGATAAGACGGAATCTCAGTGTTGTTGCATTTCTCTAATGGCCAGAGATAAATTTTTCCATATACTTATTGGCCATTTTTACTTCTTCCTCTCAGAAGTATTTATTCATTTCAACTGCCCATTTTAAAATTGGGTCTTTTATTTTGAGGTTCTGATTGTTTTTGAGTTCTTGATATACTCTAGACATTAGTCCTCTGTCTGAGGAACAGCTGGTGATTTTTCCCCCATTCTGTAGGCTTTCTTTTCACTCTGTTTGGTTGTTTCATTTGTTGTGTAGGAGCCTTTTGATATAATCCCATATTTGATTTTTGGTGTTATTTCTTGTGTAATTGGGGTTCTGTTCAGAAATGCACATCTTTTCAAGAATTTTACCTAATTTATCTCTCAGCCTGTGTCCATACTACCCTGAACTGATCTGATCTCATCTAATTTATATTCTAGCAGTTTCAGTTCTTCTGTTTTAATATTTAGGACTTTCTCATTTCAATTTTATTCTGTTCACGGTGAGAGATATGGATATATGAGTTTAGATTCAGTCTTTTGTGTATGGACAGCCAGTTTTCCCAATACCTTTGTTCAAGAGGCTATCTTCCATGCCAACGGCAACAGCTTGGCCACCCAGCTCTCCAACATTTTTGTTACTGGCAAAGGCAACAAGCTGTGGATTTCTCTTCCTCGAGGAAAAGGAATTGGCCTCACCATTGCTGAAGAGAGAGATAAGAGGCGGCAGCCAAACAGTAGTGGATGAAATGGTCTTTAGATGACATGATGGAGACACGATTGTGCTTATCCTTTCTCCAGTTCCTGCACTCACATGGCCTCTCCCTAGCTAGTGGAGGAAAGCAGTCTACAAAGGACTACAAAGGAAATGGATAGTCCTTGATGGGGGGGCTTTGGCGAGAGACTCCAGTGGGCCAAAATGGGAGGAGGAGCTGTCACCTTGCAGCACACCTGTAGCTCTCTGTCCCAGTGTAAGCAGTAGGCATGTGCTTGCTAGTACTCGTGGTGGGGTCTTTGGCCATCATGAGGGCTCAGTGGATATGGTGGAAGGTAGGAACTTATGTATAATGAACTGATTGATAATTGTTTTATAATTCCATGGTAATGGTAGCTCAGGGAAGGTAGAGGTCACAATTGGAGACTTGAATTGTTGCTGGATGTGGGAATTGTTTCACTGCTCTTAACTTGCTCAAATTGGAGCTGGTTCCAGGAACTTGAACTAAAACAACTATTTACTCACAATCCCCAAGCCTTGATGTAGGTGGAACTGTGGTGTTTGGCCCTGTTAAGATGTTTGTTTCTATAGGAAATGTATGTGGCGCTAGGCTTGGTGAATCCTGCCTTCTGAGCTTCACCCCCTCTCCTCCGTCATCTGTCCTACCCAGGGTATTCTTTAGCACAGCTCTGGTTTTTGTTTTCCACACGAAACCTTTCGTGGTTCTGTCTCCCAGCAGAATAAGGAAGTTTTTCTTTTTGGAAATCAAGACTGAGGTCTGCCCGATGACTTCACAGGTATATTCATGCCAGCTAAAATGGACTTTTTCTTCTGTCTGTGTCTTCACTGTCCACCCTGCTCCCTTCAGCCCACTCAAAGCCCCCTGTCCAAGGTTCTGTAGTTTCTGTCTTCATGGACTCTTGCTCTCTTTTGACCCTTGCAGAGTGCCCTGTGAGTACAAACTGACCTTTACTTGCTTGAACTCTGGTTAGTATGAGCTCCTTAATAGCAGGGGCTGTCATCACTGGACTAGACATTCATGTGCTGATAGCCTGTGGAGGAGGCAGAGAAAACTAACCAGTGAAGTAGAGGGGTTAGACATAGAGAAAGTATCCCAGGCATTTGGACAAAGCTGAATATATCCATGCTAAAGATTCTAAGCAAGCTGTTAATTTGCCTTTATACAGTGTTTGTTGCACTGTGTGTCATTTAGCAAAGACTAAATCTGATATGTCTGAGGAGCATAGCAAGCTTTAGTAAAATGTGTTGGGAAACATAAATAAAAATAGAGATGTATAATAATGCCACTCATTATTTCTGTAACAGAATCTTTTTTTTTTTTTAATGTGTGGTATGCTTCAGTGGTAGGAAAACTTGAAATCCTAATTTCCCTATTTCAGAGACTGGTTCACCAGGACAGAGACATTGAGAGAGAGAGACTGAGAGACTGAATGAGTGTGTGTGATGTATTTATTACATTATTTTGAAAGATAATTATTTGTCTTGTTATGTGGATATGTATATTAGGTACAGCCAAAGTGGATAGTCCCATTGGCAAAGAGAGTAGGATTTCTGAAACTCAGGCCTTAACCAGTAGATTGGAAGACAAGACCAATTGAAACATTATGAAATGTATGTTTTATTTGCTTCTGTTATTCCTGTCTCGAGTTCATTGTCTCATTTAATGATTTTTAAAATCTTATGCCTAAAGTTCATTTTGAATAATTATGAAGTAGACATGCATGTTTACATCTATGCATATTATTTGCGGGATAGTGTTTTTGTTGTTGATTCTCTTAAAAGATTACTATATTTAAATAAAAATGAAGGTCAACAATAAAACAAAAAGAGGCTATCTTCCCTCCAGGATATGTTTTTGGCTACTCTGTCCAAAATCTGGTAGCTGAATGTGCCTGGGGTTGTTTCTGCATCCTCTATTCTGTTCTGTTGGGTATCAGGCTATGTGATTTGGGTCCTGTACGTCCAAGGCCAATATAACTTGCTTCAGAAGCAGAAAAGTTAGTAATCATAATAATAATAATAACCCACAGGCTTTCTGTGTGGGGGAAAACTTATAAGCACAGCACTCCTAGGGCAAGATAACTTCTGTTGAGGACAATGCATAGAACGTAGGCATCCAGGGAAGAATCTGTTCCCCGTTACTCATTAATTACTCATTTACTGACATCTACTAGCAGTCATTGTTCCAGAAATGATGCATGACCTCTTCCCCCCTTGCTTTTTGCTGGCTAATAAAAGTGGGTCCACCAGAGAGATTGTTGAGAGTATCCATTAGAAGTGTATCTCCCTCCAGACCCCCTTGCATTCTAAGTTATTGTCTCTGTCTCTTTTATCCTTTGTTATACCCTTGACCAGGTGATTGGACCCCAAATACTGATCAGCCTCAAATACTGTTCTACTGGTCCACGTATCTGTTTTTGGGCCAGTGCCATGCTGTTTGCGTCACTGTAGCTTTGTAGTATAACTTGAAATTGAGATTGTGATGCCTCCTGCATTGGTCTTGCTGCCAAGGATTGCTTTCACTATTCTGGGTCTCTTCTGGTTCCATATACATTTTAGGATTGTTTTCTCTAATTCTGTGTGGAAGGCTGTTGGTATTTTGATTGGGATTGCATGAAATCTATATATCAACTTTGGAACTATGCCTATTTTGACAATGTTCATTCTGCCTATCCAGGAACAGGGGACATCTTTCTAATCTTTCTTTCTTTCTTTTTTGATACCAGAGATTGATCTCAGGACCTTGCACTTGTGAGCCAGGTGGTGGATCTTTCCAGTTTCTGATGGTTTCTTTGATATTCTTTTTCAGTATTCTAAAGTTTTCATTTGAAAACTCCTTCACTTCCTTGGTTAGGTTAATTTTTAAGTATTTAATTTTTCTTAATCCTGCATGGATTTTTCCCCATTGTTTGTCTATTGTGAATAATGCTGCTATGAACATTTGTGTTGACATTTTATGTGGATGTCTGTTTCATATCTATTCGATAAACACCCAGAGTTGCTGAATTATGTGGTACCTCTATGTCTAACATTTTGAGAAACTGCCAAAGTGTTTTCCAAAGTGGCTGCCCCATTTTTACATTCCTATCAGCCACATA